CGACGCCCCGAGCCGACATCGACGCCACGATTTGGCTGAGCGAGATGATCTGTACAGCGCGGCGCCCGCCCCTGGAGGTTGCCGCCCCGCTCGGGACGCGGATCTACGCGGACGACACCAACCGCACTAGCGTTGTCACCTCTGCCAGGAATGCGGGCTGCTTTGTCTCCAGACACTCGCACTGCGAGCTTCGACGTGCGCTGGGGCCCTACGGCTACACGCACAAGCCGTCCAAGAGCTCGGCATCGCTTTGGTTCGTGGGCTGCGGCGCCCAGCACGAGACGAGGAAGCTCTTCAGCGGCGCCGAGAACATCGCGGGGGTCGTGCAGTACGACAACATCGCGCTGGGCATCCAGACCTCCATCACGGGGAGCGCGCAGGCTGAGCTTCGGCGACGCCTGCAAGCTGCCCGCAGGGGATATTACAGCATGGGCCGCTTCTGGGCGCACAACCGCATCTGGCGCCTGACCAGGATCGTGTTCGGGTCTGTCGTGCAGGAGGCCGCGTTGAGTGGGCCCAACGTCCTGGTCCTGAGCGTGTCGCAGCAGATGCAGATTGACAAGGTGCTCTCCAGTCTTGGACGTCGCCTCCTGAAGGGGGCCGCCTGCCAGAAGATCCCGCTCCTCGGCGACGCGGGCGTTCAGAAGGTCGACGACAACGGCAAGCTGCTCGTCCGCTACAAGGCGATGTCCGACGTTGCGGTGCTGAAGCGGCTCGGGATGGCCCCCACGACTACGGAACTACGAGTTCGCCGACTCCGTCAATATCAGCGATGGCTTCGGGCCCCTGATCGACACCCGCAAGAGCTCGCGGTGATGTTCGGCGAGCTTCCGCTGGAGCCGACGCCGGCGCTCGACGATGAGGGCTCGGTGGCCACGGGCGCTAACCCGTACGCGCTGCGGTTCGTCGAAGACGTGGAGACGCTGCTGACGGCCGCGGGCGACGACGAGCTGCGCGAGGACCTGCAGACGGCGAAGGGCGCGCTCAATGTCGCGGCGCTGTTCTTCAACGACGACCTGCGGGAGCGCTACCTCGTGCGCGACCCTGAGATGCTGAGGGCGCAGGCGCGCACGGTGGCGATCCCGCCGCCTGGCTGGCAGCCACCGTTGGCGACGGGGGAGGCCCCTCCGCCGCCGCCAGCCATATGGCGCTGCGAGCTGCTCGGCGCCGAGGGCGCCATGTGGGGGCGCGAGTTCACCACGAGACGGGCGCTGCTTGCCAATCAGAAGTTCCAGAACAACTCTGGCCACGGATGTCGGTCCATCCTTCATTCCCTCATCATTACCAACCAATGCGTATACTGTTCAAGCACCTTCAGGACAATGCGGATTGCGCAAGAGCACGCCGTGACCGCATGCCTGACTCGTCGATGCCCTGTCCAGCGGCCCCCCTTCTACCACGAGGTGGTCATGCCCCCATCTCTGATGTGTCCCTTGGCTTCGATAACAAGGTCTGCGTTGTACCCTGGCTCGCAGTCTCTGGAGCTAGCATGTCCGATTGGGGGGCCCTTCGAGACCCTAGCAGATCTGCAGGCACATCTGCTCGAGCAGCATGCGAACGCCCCAAGCGCCCCTCGGGCCGTGCGGCGGGCCCCTGCGGGCGGTGGCGACGCCCGTGGCCTTCCGTCTCAGCTCGCGGGCACTGGGGCAGGCCAAGGGCCGATCTCGATCCCACAGCCGCCGAGCCGCGCCTGGGCGAGATGGCCGAGATGGCTCCGCGAGTGCCAGCCGCGGGGCCCACGTGCGCCGTCGCGGAGGCGGAGGGCGCAGCAGCGAGCGCGGTGCCGCGGCCGCGCGGCCAGCCGCCGACGCAGTGCCCATCCCGTGGATGCCGCAGCGCGGGGCGCTCGCGCCCGCGGCGAAGGCCGCGCGGCGCTTGCCGAGATCGGCCAGACCTACGGGCTCCCGAAGGACACGCTGGACAAGCTACCGACCATGGAGATGCAGCTGGCGCTCAAGATCACCCCAGTGATCGCGAAGGCGGTCTTGGGCAACAGCTTCAACATTCGCCAGCTCATGTCGACGAACTACCACACGCTGCTCATGGACGACGACGCCGAGTTGGTGAAGGCGTCCTTCACAGCGGGCAAGGCCCACGCGCTGGAGGCGCAGAAGCTGCGCTTCCTGCACCGCGCCGGCTCCGCGCAGCACCAGACTCCCGAGGCGATCATGGGCCCCGCGTGCGTCCAGGCGTTCCTCGAGGCCGCTCGCGCGCTGAAAGGCGTGGGCGACAAGGTGGGCATGCGTCGCAAGGGGGCTTGGGAGACGATCTATGCGCGGATCGACCCGATGACTATCCCCGAGCTGACGTTCCTGGTGCGCGGCTTCCGCGCGTCGCAGTGCTACAAGGAGGGCAGAGCCAAGATAGTGATGTGCATCAGCGACCCCAACATCGAGCAGTGCTTCCTGAAGTGCGCCGAGCAGCTGGGAGCGGAGCACAGGCCTGGCGTGGGCCCTCGCGGGCACCAGGGTGTGTACTGCAGATGGCGCTCGACCAGTTCGCAGACATCTGACAGGGCTTCCTGGAGATGCGACTGAGGACGTGGCAGGTCCTAGAGGATGGGAAGCTGGTGCTGGTGCTCCGCGTCCGCTGAGCTCGCGGGTGGCCGCGGAGGCCACAGTGCGCAGCAGTGTGGCCGCGGGGGGCGCGGCTGAGCTCAAGGCGGAGACCGCCAGACATCGGTGCGGTCCGTCGAGGACTGCAGTGCAGGATCTCCCCCCTCGCCCGTCCTGACCCCTCCCACCCGTTCGTCTACTGCTCCTCCCCGCCCTCAGCCAGTTAGTAGTAGTAGTGTACAGGTTCAGGTGATGTCGAAACGTAGCAATATAATAGCAGCAGACGTAGAGCAATTCGCAAAACTCAGCTTAACGTTTGAAAAATCCTCGGGTCTCACCGTAAATGGTAGAGCGAAGGCAATTCGGGGCTCCCAGGGAGGGCACGCCGTGTTTGCCTATGCCTGTGCGCGCACAGCAGGTCGTACATATCGATGCGTTCTGATGTGTAGCTGGGGTTGCGTGATCTTCGACCCGAGGACCGATGCAGCGACCGACCGACCGACCTCCTCCCCCTCTGCCTTCTCCACCTCCTCTGCCTCCTCCTCCTCCTCCTACTACTACTCCTCCCCCTCCTCCTCCTCCTTCGCCTCTTCCTCCTCTGCCTCCCTTCTCCTCCTCCTCCTCCTCCTCCTCCTCCTCCTCCTCCTCCTCCTCCTCCTCCTCCTCCTCCTCTCCTCCTCTTCCCCTCCTCCTCCTCTTCCTCCTCTGCCTCCTCCTCCTCCTCCGTCTCCCTCCTCCCCCTCCTCCTCCCTCTCCTCCTCCTCATCCTCCTCTGCCTTCTCCACCCTCTCTGCCTCCTCCTCCTCCTTTTCCTCCTCCCCTCCCTCCTCCTCCTCCTCCTCCTCCTGCTCCTCCTCCGCCTCACTTCTCCTCCTCCTCCTCCTCCTCCTCCTCCTCCTCCTCCTCCTCCTTCTCTCCTCTTCCCTGCCTCTCCATGTCCTCCTCTTCCCCTCCTCCTCCTCCTCCTCCTCCCCTCTCCTCCTTCTCATCCTCCCCCCCTCCTCCTACTCTCCTCCTCCTCCTCCTCCTCCATCCTCCTCCTCCCCCTCCTCCTCCTCTTCTTTTCCTCCTCCTCCTCTGCATCCCCCCTCCTCCTCCTCCTCCTCCTCCTCCTCCTCATCCTTCTCCTCCTCCTCCTCTTCCTCCTCCTCTCTTCCTCCTCTGCCTCCCTCCTCCTCCTGCTCCTCCTCCTCCTCATCATCATCATCATCATCATCACCACCATTATCATCATCAGCATCAACATCGTCATCATCATCATCATTAGCACCACCATCATCATCACCATCATCGTCATCATCATCATCATCGTCAGCATCATCATCATCGGCATCATCATCAGTGCCACCATCATCATCATCATCGTCATCATCATCATCGTCATCATCATCATCATCATCATCATCATCATCTTCATCATCACCATCATCATCAGCATCATCATCAGTATCATCATCAACTTTTGTCTTCTCCACCTCCTCTGCCTCCCTTTCCTCCTCCTCCTCCTCCTCCTCCTCCTCCTCCTCCTGATCGGCGCCCCTCGCGCAGGTGTCGGGGGCCTGTTGCCTCCATGTCCCCCTGGTCCGCCTGCCCCCCTTTCCACCTCGTGTTCCTCTTCCGCTCCTCGTCCTCCTCAAAGGCCTCCCCCTCGTCCTCCTCTTCGTACTGTACTCCTCGTCTTCCTCCTCATCCTCCTCCTCGTTCTTCTCTTCCGTCTCCCCCTCGTCATTCCTTGTCCCCTCCTCTTCCACTTGATCCTCCTCCTAATGTTTTTCTTCTCCTCGTCTTTCTCCTCGTCATCCTGCCCCTCCCCTTCCCCCGTGTCCCCCATCTTCCCCCTCGTCCTTGTTGTTTTCCTTCTCTTGCTCATGCCCGTCGTTCTCGTCCACCTTTTCCCGCTGTTTCTCCTCCTCGTCCCCGTCGATTTCCTCCTCCCTTCGCCCCCCCCCCCCACCGTCATCCCGCTCCTTCCTCAGGCGTTTCTCTTTCGAGCAGGCCCGTGGGCCTACCAGTTCCCGTTGTGGAGGACGAGGAGATTGCTTGGCATCGTTCGCACGTCTGCATTCTTGTCGGCGGTCCCGCCACAGCATCTGGACCATGTTGGACCATCTTGATCAACAGAACGCGCACCAAACAATGCACGGGTAATGCACGTCCGAGCGATGGTAAGACCGAGGATCGTGCTGCCAGCAGAGGGAGAGAGAGAGAGAGAGGAGGAGGAGGAGGAGGAGGAGGAGGAGGAGGAGGAGGAGCACTATCCAGGGTCTCCTCGGGCCTCAGAGCCTGGTGAGTCGCGCGCCAGCTAGGCCCTTCTGGGCTCGAAAGCCGCCGCGAATCAACCGGCAAACGCTGAGTCCCCCTTCTCCTCGTCGTCCTCCACCTCCTGGCTCGCCCTTCTGCTCCCTCGCCGATCCTTGCCTCGGCCCGGCTGGGCGCCGCCCGCAGGAGCAGATCCGCAAGCTGGTGCCGCGGGGCGGCCGCAAGAGCAAGTCTCAGCTGGAAAGCCTGCTGGTGAGCGCCGGTGGCGTGGACGAGAGGACTGGTCGGTGCTCACTCGGGCGGGGCCAGGACGATGAGAGTTCCATTCCAGCTTGTCCTCGTCCTGGCGTCGCCTCCCTCGCGTCACGGGAGGCGGCGCTAGAGGCGGTCCGGCAAGCTCTGTTGGCCGGCCCAGGTCTGGGAGCCAAGTGGGGCCAGGTTCCCCCCCGCCTGCCCTCCGCCGGCCCAGGCTCGGGAGTCAGAGCACAGAGCGGTCGCCATCAGCGTCGGCGACGCGTCGCGATCGGGGCCCCGACGTTCTGTCTCCTCCCCGACGTCTCGGGAAGATGCGTCGACGATGCGGTGCGCTCCTCCGACCCCCTCTACCCTGGCCTCGTTTCTGGTTTCTCGAGGGGCGATTAATTATGTAGCCACACCCCCCGACCCCGATATCTTGCGTTTGCAAAGCAGCTTTGGCATTGGGCGCTTTCTGAACCGGTCCTGGCCCGCTCGAATGATTATCTGGGTGCGTTTTCCACAGGGTTTCGGTCGCAGGGGCGCTTTCTTGATGCGACCAGGCGGTTCAGAACTGCCCCCGGGGATCGCAGCGCCTCATTGGGAAGGAAGCCGATCACACATGCATTCCTGGTTCGTCGTCGCCGTCGTCGCGGTCGAGGCCGTCAGGCCGCAGCCAGCGGCCCCGACTTGAAGCACAGTGCTTTGTTCAGTCGTCCTTGTTAGACACGGGTTGACTGTGATGGGCCTGTTTCCACCATCACCATCACCATAAGTTGGAGGGGGGGAGCAGGTGGAGGATGAGGAGAAAGAGGAGGAGGAGGAGGAGGAGGAGGATCTCCCCCTCCTAATGGTGGAGGTGGTGGTGGAAAGCAAGCCCACCAGACCGGACTCTGCCCTCAGTGCTCCTCGGCCGCCTCCAGTCCAGAGGGGGGCGGCGGCGGTGCGCGAGAGACGCGTGGCAGGCCAGGGCCGTCCGGGCCTCGGTGGCCAGGGGCGGCGCGGGGGTTTGGGCAGGCCGGAGGCCTCGGCGGCCTTTCCACCGGGCCTCCTAGATTCATGGTGTCCCAGCCTTTTTCAGCCTTGATCACGAAAAAGAACCTCGAGCACCCAAACAAAGTACCGAAACTCGATGGCTTTCACGTGTTGGGCCCTGGGGGACACTCGTTCGACACTGTTTCGACGCTCTTTCGACACTCGTTCGACACTTTTTTGGGTGCTCGAAGGCACGATGGGAGCACCATAATCCTAGATGGGGTCGGAGTAGATGGGATCGGAGGATCATCGCGCCGCATCGCTGATGCATCGGCGATGCGGCTCGATGTGCAGCCCGATTTGCTTCGCGTCGACGTCGCCGATGCATCGCCGGCGTCGCCGGTGCATCGCTGGTGCATCGCCGATGCATCGCCGATGCATCGCCGGTGTATCGGCGATGCGGCGCGATCATCTGACCCTATCTATTCCGACCCCATCTAGGAGGCCCCTGTTTCTGTGTCTGGCGGCGCCCATCGCGGGCCACGCGCAGAGGGGGCTAGGCGGAGGGGGGACAGCTTCTCAGAAGCACCCCTGCTTCTTAGAAGGTGCGGGCCTTGTCTGTAGATGCAGGGCCCGCGCCCTCTAAGAAGCGGCCTCCTTCAAAGAAGCCTTCTTCCCTCCCCCTACCCCCCTGCTCGCGCCGCCAACATCAGGCGGGGCTAGGACCGGGAAACATCGATCCAGAGCCTTCCGGAACGCTCTCGGAGCGTTCGGGAACGCTCTGAGAAGGCCGCGGCGCCCGATGCATCCGCCAGAGCCGCTGGATCTCAGAGATCGCAGATTTATCGTTGTCCGATGTTGTTTTTGTCCTGGCTTCGTCGGCTTCGTCTCAGCCCACAGAGGGGCTGCGCGAGAGGGACGGCCTTCTCAGAAGGCGGGGGTTCTTAGAAGACAGGGGCCTTCTTAGAAGACCTGCTCCGAAACCGTCTAAGAAGGTCTCAGGCGCCAGGAGGGGCTTAGAAGCCCCGTCGTGTTCGTAGAAGCCGACCATCCTCGCGCCACGTCTTTGTGAGCGCCGCCAAGGTGGGGTCCTGGCAGCTGAGATCTCTCAGTGTTGGAGCGGCCCACGCGGCGGCAGGAGGGGAGGGAGATGGAGGAAGGAGGTGGAGGAGGAGGAGAGGGGAGGAGAGGAGGGAGTCGGGAGGCAAGGGGGGAGGCGGAGGAGTAGGATGAGGAGAGGGAGGATGGGGCTCCTCTCCTCTCCATCCGCTCTCCTCTCCATCGTACATCTTAATCACAGCCCGTGATACCAGTCACCTGGCTGTTCAGTTCGATCAACCCCCAGGGCCGGCCTGCCCTGGGATGGGGGGAGGACAACGTCTGGACGACCTTTCTGCCTTCAGGACTCAGACCTCCGGAGGAGGAGGACAAGTGTAAACTTGGGACGCGTCAGCCAGGTTGCAATAACCCCTCCCTCCAAGTTCCCTCTCAATGCGTCCCTGCAAAAGTTAGCTGTTTTTGTGGGAAGTGCCCAAGTGGAAGACAACCTATTGAGAGTCTTGGATCGTGCCAAAACACAAGGACACCGCGAATATACGTAGTTGTTGCGTCCTGAATCCTATATCGTCCCAGGACACCGCCCCTGGGACTTCAACCGTACGAACCATTAAACATGTTGCAAGCGTTCAGGAAGAATGTGCACAGTGCTCAGGCGAGAGCCACATTTTGAAAAAACGCCCCCCCTCCTATCCGTGAAAATGCTAAAAACACTCGAGACGAGTTCACGCGGCGCTGAGGCGAGAGTCCCATGTCGAAAACGACCCGCCCTCCATCCTGCAAATTTGTTGCGCACTTTTAGACATTACTTTCGTACATGGTGAAGCAATATCAGGCAAAACGCCCGGCCCACCCTGCCGACAGGTCTGAGGTTGCGACAGAGAGGAGTTATTCATGAGGAACACGGATGGAGGAGGACGACGACGACAAGGACGAGGACGAAGACGAGGGCGAGGATGACAAGGAGGAGGGGAAGGGTGCGAATTAAGAGGAGGCGAAGGAGGAACGGGAGGGAGGATGAGGGGGGAGCAGGATCAGGAGAAAGAGGAGGAGGAGGAGGGCGAGGGTGGGAGGAGGAGGAAGGCGGCGGCAGGTGGGAGGAGCGATTGGGGAAGAGAAAAGAAGACGAGGGGGAGGGTCGAGGAGGGGGGAGGTACGAGAAGTGGGGGGTAGGAGTAGGGGGAAGCAGCCGGAAAGCAACGACGCCAACCACGTTGATGATGACGACGACGACGACGACAACGACGACCACGACGATGGCGGCGGCGGCGGCGGCGACGACGACGACGACGACGACGGCAAAGGCGAAGATGAACACGAAGATGAATACGTCGCCGTCGACGACGACGGCGACTGCGGCGACCCCGCGGAGGACAGCCAGGAGGGCCATCAACATGATGCTGCTGTCGGGGGACCTCAAGGAGCGGGCCCACAACACCCTGCAGCGCGAGAGGCCAGCGGGGAGGGAGGAGGAGCCTCCCCCTCCTCCCTCCTCCCCCTCCACCTCCTCCCCCTCCCCCCTCCTCCCCCTCCCCCCTCCTCCGCCTCCTCCCTCTCCCTCCCCCTCCCCTCCCCCCCCTCCCTCCCCCTCCCCCTCCCTCTCCCTCCCTCCTCCTTCTCCCTCCTTCCCTCCCTCTCTTCTTTCCCGCGCGCAGTGACGGGAGGGCAGCTGCGGCACCAGCGAAAGGTGGCCGACGCGCAGCTTTTCCTCAGAAGGACCCCCAGGTTGGCGTCGATCCTCCCTTCCCCCTCCTCCCTCCTACTCCCTCCCTCCTCCCCCATCCACCTCCTCCATCCCTCCTCTCCCACGCTCGCGCTCCTCCCCTCCCCACGTAGGTATTGAAAGGGGAGCACCCTAGACGACCCGACTTGAGTGTCGACCTTCCCCTCCTCGGCTCTGGCAACCGAGTGGTAGACCTTTCCTGCCATGTGGTGCCAGAGGGGCTGTGAAGCCGCTGGCCCGTCCCCGCAGGTGAGCAACGAACCATGCTGGCGCTGCATCGGCCTCCCAGGCTATGGATTATAGTCCGCCTGGTGAGAGGGTCGAGCTCGACCGTGTGCGAGAGTCCTTTCGTGGGGAGGAGGAGGCGGACCATCGTTCAGATGGCATGTTTTTTTATGTTGTTTGCCGCCCACGCGCTTCGGCGTATGGCTCAGCGTAGCGTAGCTTGCAGATGGCAACAGTTCCGTGGCGAGAGCTCGTCAATAGTTCAGACGGTTCTGATCAACGGACCTAGCTTTTTCCCCAGACCAGACACGGCTACCCTGGTCTGTGCACGCCGGCAGCAGCCCGTCGATGCTGAAGTCCCCGCAGCTACTCGGTATGAGCATTTCTCTCCTCTCTCCCCACGTGCTGTGCGAACGGGGCCCACTTTCTCCCGCGTGCTGCTGTACTATTATCGCACACGATTTCAACACGTGGCGTGTCAGATGTGCTTGGTTCGATCGGAGTGGTTCAGGTTTTGCAAACTTGTATCCTCGCAGTGTTGACTTGCATTTGGATCGGCCCTCTTCTTCCGTCGTTTAGAATTCTCTTCGGCCCAGCGCTGGATTGATTTCCAGATTTGGGTCGTTCTTCGTCGTCGTCGCCCTCCTCTTTTCCCCTCCTCCGCCTTCCCCTTGTCTTCGGGCTCCTCCCGCTGCTGCTGTTCCTCCTCCTCCTCCTCCTCCTCCTGAGTTCTCCTCCTGCCCATCCTCTTGCTCATCCTCCTGCTTATCCGCCTGCTCATCCGCCACCTGTTCCGCTGCCACCTCTTCCGATGTACACAGCCCCCCTTTCTGCTTGCGCATCTCACGATGAGGTAAGTTTGAAGGTTCCAGGTCCGCTATGACACCTGTCGGCGGATATAGAGAAGTCGGCGCGATGGCAAAATGCTGCGCACAAAGGTGTCGCTTGACGAAGTGGCGCTCGCTGAGGCCTAGCGTCTGCTAGCCCTCGTGTGCACGCTTTTGATTTTTGTTCGTCTGCACAGGTTGTCGGCCCAGCTTGATCACGAACAAGTCGGCGTGACGGGAAGGGATGGGTGGGAGGAATGGGATGTCAGACATGGCGCGAGCGCGTCCAGCCTGCCCCCCTCCCTCACCTGCCTCCGATCTCCTCCCTCTCCTCCCCCTCCTCCCTCTCCTCCCTCTCCCCCCTCCCTCGGTCCATCTCCTCCGAGGGGAAAGGAGGGCAGGGGACGGGAGGGGGGGGGAACGCCAAAGCACGATGAGAAGGACAAGTTGGAGGAGAAGGGGAGGAGGAGGAGGAGGAGGAGGACGACGACGATGACGAGGAGGAGGTGGAGGAGGAGAAACCACGCAGAGGAGGAGGGAGGGGGGGTGCGCAGGGGCGGCGAGGCTCCGCCGGGAGCCCGCCTGGCAGCCCCGACGCTCCGACGGGGCGGGGTGGGCAGCGTGCCCACGGCCTGGTCGGCGGTCGGCCCAGCTCGGTCGGCTGCCGCAGTTGTGCGCCCGCGGCGCCGAGTTCGGGGCCGCCTGCGCCCGTCGGCCTCGGCTGCGGCCCGGCGGGCGGCCTCGGCCGGGTGGCTCGGGCTCGTGGCGCCGCCGTGGGCCAGCGGACGCGAAAGGAGACGACGATGGGCTTGTTTTCCACCACCACCACCATAAGCTGAAGGGGGAGGGGGTTCTCCTCTTCCTCCTCCTCCTCCTCCTCCTCCTCCTCCTCGTCCTCCACCTCCTTCCCCCCTCCAATTTATGGTGGTGGTGGTGGTGGAGGACAGGCCCATCAGACGACGCATCAGGCAGGTGGCGTGGAGGTCGGGCGAAGAGGGCTGTGCACAGATGCCGCTGGCTGCGAAAAAGCACACAAACATAAACTTTCGACGCTCCGCGCGGATTTCTTGGATCTGCGCTGGGGCCCTCTGGCGGCGCCTCCGGCGCCGCCCCTGGCGCGCTTCGCGCGCCAGGGAGGGGGGCCCAGCGCAAATCCAAGAAATCCTCGCGGACCGTCGAAAGCTTATGTTTGTGTGCTTTTGTTCTTCCTCTACTCTCGGCGATGTATCACCGATCCCGGGTCGGTGTTCCCCCGCCCCCTTCTTCTTTGAGCATCGTGGGCCCCCAAACGGGGTGGTGACCACACCGTGTGGTGAGTCGGTGGGGACTCGGGGCCACCGCACGGTTTTGGGACTTGAGCCCCCCTCCGAGGCTGTCTCGGGCGACAGGGGCCTCCAGGGTCCCAGGACCGTGCGGCGACGGACCGTGCGGTGAGGTCTCTTGGGGTTCCGAGGTCACCGCACGGTCTGTCACCGCACGGTTTCGGGACTCCAAGGAGAGCAGCCCGCCGCCAGTCTTCTGCATGGCCTCGGCCTGCGGCAGGCACGGCTCGCTCAGGTAGGCTCTCGGCCCTGCGCCCTCCATCTCCTGCGGAGGCCACGGCCTCCGCGCACGCCTTCGCCCGTGGCGGGCACCCCCGGCGCTCGCCCGAACGAGCGCCCCCGTCCCGCCCCGGGCCCAGGATGCAGCTCATGGGAAGTTAGATCAAGCAACGGCGCGCGCCGACGCCGCGCGAGCATGCCGTACGGCAAGAACTTGGTATCGCTCGGACGTGTGCACTTTCTTCTCGGCGGGGATTAGTATGGAGCATCTTGGATCATCCTGCGAAAAAACCACGCACGAAAGCGAAAAAACACAGGGAATGGACGTCCGAGCGACGGGGAAAGAATGGGTACAAAGGCCGACCGCAGTTCCTGTCCACTTTGGGGACCGTTGTCGGTGTCGCCGCGGACGTTGCCCATTTGAGGTAGAAGGCCGCCTGCCCGACAGCGGCCGCTGTCGGTTTTGGACAACATTTGCTGTTGGGCATCGTACCCATGTTTTCCGTACCCACTTCGGGCGTCCAGAGCCATGGGCCAAAGTTGGGTTTCTTCTTACAGTGCAAGCCCATGCCAAGAAACACCCTGCTTGCCTCCAGGGTGCCCTGGGTTTCGTGGGTTTCGATGGTTTTGCTGTGGCAGGCGTGACGTGCCCACACCAAAAATCAATGAACGTCCTGGGGTCTCAGGTTTGGGTTTCTTGTGGACGGTTTCTTGTGGTCGAGCTCCTACTTTCACATGGTCGAAGCCAGTCGAATCTGCATAGCTCCGCTTTATCCCGTCTAAATCCCGCTTCATTCGGACGAATCCCAGGCTTTATCCAGCTTGATTCGGCCGAACGGCCCGTCAATTTGGCGGAAGAGCGCTCAATCGTTTCTACAGCGACCTCCCAGGAGCCGCTCATAATCCCATCCCCAGGTCATTCCCCCCCCTTTTGGGCCTGCCCCTTTTGTCGCACTCCCCCCTCAGCAGATCGGGAGCAAGGTTAGGGGGGCTCGGATACAACTCCTGGGAGGTCAAATTCTGATTTCGCCTAGAGAGAGAGATCTGGCTTAATCTGGCCTAGTCCCGCTTAATCCGGCTTAATCCCGCCAAATCCAGCTCAATCCCGCGTAATGCGAGGCCCAATCTGGCGTAACAGCTCCCCATTCGGGCTTAATCCTCCTTGATCCTTCCGACGAAGACCTCCCAGTAGTTGCCTCCTAAAGGGGGAGGTCGGCTGAGGGGGGGGGGATGATGCATCGACCCCCAGTCGCCCTCTCATCGCCGATGCGGGCCAGCTGGTCCACCCCGCCCAGGAGCGCGCGGATTCTGTCGGGGACCTATCGCCGACCTGTCGGCGGTGCATCGCGTCGCCGATTCCAGGTCGATGCATGCCCCCCCGAGCCAATGTCGGATGGGGCCGGGACGAGGATAAGTCCGCTCCAGAGTGTTTTGGAACGCCGTCAGAGCGTGCTGCAACGCTCTGAGGGGGTCACGGCGCCCGAGGCATCCTCCAGAGCCGCTAGATTTCAGAGATCCTCGATTTATCCTCACCCGACTTTGTCCTCGCCCTGGCTTCGTCTTAGGTCCCGAGTGCAGCCCCCGAGGCGGGCGTTGCCGGAGGTGGCCCTGGCCCGCGGGGCCCTACTGGGAGCGGCCGCGGGAGGTGTCTTCTGCTCCCACGAGGCGGCAATGGGGGCCCTTCGAAGGGGGAGGGGCCCAAGGAGAGTCGGGGAGGGAAAAGCGCAGAGACACAGAGAGTCGTCGACCTCCTCCTCCTCCCCCTCCTCCTCCTCCTCCTCCTCCTCCGCCTCCTCCTCCTAGGAGAACTGTAGGAAACGCTGCAGTGTTGCAAGCGCTGCCCGCCAGCAGCGCGGCGGCCGCGCGCCGCCCCGCGAGGTGAACGGCGCGGGCACCGCCGCGCGGGCCGGCCGAGGGGCGGGCCCCCTCCTGCGGGGCTGCGGCTGGCCGCCGCCGCGGGCGGCTGGCGCGCGGGGGGCGCTCATTGCTCGGGCGGCGACGACGACGACGACGACGACGACGACCAACCACGACGACCACGACGACGACCAACCACGACGACCACGACGACGACCACGACCACGACGGCGACCACGACCACGACCACGACCACGACCACGACCACGACCACGACCACGACTACGACGACGGCGAAGATGACGACGACGACAACGACCACGACGACGATGACGACGACGACGACAGTCGCTGGCGAAGTCCGAACCCTCCACTCGGAGGAGGCAACACGGCATAAACATACAACGTTTTCGGGCCGCCAGTTGTTTATGTTCATGCCGTTTTGGGGTCCTCTAGTGTCCCCAGTCGGCGGCAAAGCCCGAACCCTCCACTCAAGGCTCGGCATAAGCATATTATAACTTTTCGGCGGTCCGCGCGGATATCTCGGATCTGTGCTGGAGCGCCCCGGCGGCGCCTCTGGCACCTTCGAAACGTACACTTTTCGGAGGTCCGCGCATATTTTTGTTGATCGGTCCCGGGCAGCCGTCCCTGGCGCACGGAGAGCGCAAGGGACGGCGCTGGAGGCGCCACCATGGGGGGTCCAGCGCAGATCCAAGATATCCGCGCGGACCGCCAACAGCTTATATTTATGTCGTTGTTTGGTCCTCTGATGTCCCTAGTCGGCGGCGAAATCCGAACAATACCCTCACCGGTCAGCGATTCAGGCAACTCGATGGGCGGCAGAGGAAGGGCTCGGACTTCGTCGAGCACGTGTCGAAATCCGAGCCCTACCCCCGCCCCCCGGTGACCCTGAGCGCGCCCTTCTAGACAGCGGTCGGTGCACTAGAAACGCTCAAGAGGCACCTCGCCTGCTCACGGAGGGCATTAATGCTGAAGGCCCAGGAGGGCACCAACCATGCTATGCAATAGATCGGCGAACGTTGCAGACGCCATGCGCACCATAAAATCTCCTTTGCCGCCCAGGGGTCATGGCTCGCGGCCGCGGTGGTCGTCGCCGCTGTCGCAGTAGCCGTGGAAGTCGTCGTGGTCGTGGTTGTCGTCGTCGTCGTCGTCGCCGCCATCGTCTCGTCGACGACGACGGGATAATGACGGCGGCGACGACGACGAGGACGATGGCGACGATGACGGCGATGACGACGTCGACAATGACGACCACCGCGGCTACCTCGACGGTGGCCGCTGCTGCCAGAAGCTTTGATCCTTGGGCGACATAGGGGGCATTGATATTCCGCATGGCGTCCGCAAAGTCATCCCATTTATGTTGTAGTTGTTCGATACATTGGCTTAAGCTTGCGCGCCAGAGAGCTAGCTCTAGGAGGCTTTTTAGGAGTTGGTGGGACGTTTCCGCTCCAAGAGTCTAGCAGGCATCCAGCTATATCATAGCCTAACCTTACCCTTGTCCTTCCTCGATGTACATGTTCCCGTCGTCGTCTCGTGCTGATGCCCCCTACGCTTGCCCTGCCTCGATTTGTACAATCCCTTCATCTTTTTCGTATCATGCATCTATCTCCAGCCCCTCGTCTTTCGTTTACCTTGTCTTGCGCTTCCTCCTCTGTTTCCCGTCTTCCACTTCCTCCTCCGTATAGTCACGCTCGTCCCGTTGTTTCCCCCCATTTATTCGCGCAGTTCCCGTCTCGGTCCCGACCGTTGTTTATTTCTTACGCAATTTTATATGCTGTTGTATTGTGCTCGTTCCCTTCTCCTCACGGCCCCTCCCCCCCCCGCTGCTCAGCACGCGTCCGCTTGCTGCCCCAGTCGATGCCTTACGTGCGTCCGCCTGCTGCCTCCGTCGATGCTCTGAGCACCCCTCCCCCGACTCCTCCCTCTCGGATTGCCGCCCGTGTGCGGCGGGTCCCGAGGGGGGAAGCCAGCGGGGGCAGTCCTTCGCAGACGGCGGCGGGGCTCCTCGGATCTCCTCCCCCCCCCGGCCTTTCGAGAGGCCCTCTGCGGCTTCGGATAATCTCGGGGGCGGCAAAGAGGGGGGTGATGACTAGAGAGGGGTGGATATCATGGCGGGGGCCATGATATCTCCCCATATATTTCCTGGCGCCTCTTCTTCTTCTTCCACTGCGTCCCTGGCCCCCCCGCTGGGCCGCGCACATGCCGCCGGTCATGATTTGCACCCCCCCTTTTGGACACCCCCCTCCTGGCCGCTCCCGAGGAGAATCGGGGGCCCCCACACGGGGTGGCGACCGCGCCGTGCGGTCAGAGTCGGTGGGGCTGCGGGGTCGCCGCGCGGCTTCGAAGGCCTCGGGCCGTTCTCTCCGAGGCTGCCTCGGGCGGCGGCCGGAGCCTCCAGGGGTCCCAAGAGCCGTGCGCTCGGACGGGCCGTGCGGCGAGGCCTGGCCTTGGGTTACGTCGGGCCTGTCCCTCTACAGGGGGAAAGTTTTCAAAAATAGTCATACAATAGTCAGGGGACTATTTTTCCCAACCATCCTGTGGTGTTGGGTCCTCGTTTTGAATAGACAGCGCCCCGCGTCTCCTCCTTCCTTCCTTCCTCCTCCTCCTCCCCCTCCTCCCTCCTCTCCTCCTCCCCCTCCTCCCTCCTCCCCCTCCTTGCCTTTGCTCTCGGCACACCTCTCACACGTTTCTAAGCCCCAAAGGGAGCTGCACCGAAGGCCCCAGTGGAGGTGTTCGCATGCTGGTCCCCCACCCAGGACAGCGTTCCGTGGCCCCATAGGGAGCTCCACCGAAGGCCCCACTGGGAATGTTCGCATGCGGGTCCCCCACCCAGGACAGCGCTTCGTGGCCCCATAGGGAGCTCCACCGAAGGCCCCAGTGGGGGTGTTCGCATGCGGGTCCCCCGCCCTGGACAGCGCTTCGTGGTCCCATGGGGAGCTCCACCGAAGGCCCCAGTGGGGGTGTTCGCATGCGGGTTCCCCACCCAGGGCAGCGTTTCGTGGCCCCACAGGGAGCTCCACCGAAGGCCCCAATGGCTGCGTTCGCATGCGCCCACCGCGCACATTTCGGCACACCCCTCACACGTTTCGCGGCCCCACAGGGAGCTCCACCGAAGGCCACAATGGCTGCGTTCGCATGCGCCCACCGCACAAATTTCAGTACACTCCTCACACGCTTCGTTGCTCATAGGGAGCTCCACCGAAGGCCACAGTGGCTGCGCTCGCATGCGCCCACCGCACCCATTTCGGCACACCCCTCCCACGTTTGTTTCGTGGCCCCACAAGGAGCCCACCTCAGGCCACAGTGGCTGCCTTCGCATGCGCCCACCGCAGCGATTTCGGCACACCCCACACACGTTTCGTGGCCCCACAAGGAGCCTCACCGAAGGCCCCAGCGGTTGCGTTCACATGCGCCCACCGCACATTTCGGCACACACCCCCTCACGTTTCGTGGCTCCACAGGGAACTCCACCGAAGGCTCTGTGGTTGCGCTCGCATGCTCCCACCGCACCCATTTCGGCACACCCTTCACACGTTTCGTGGCCCCACAGGGCGCTCCACCGAAGGCCCCAATGGCTGCGTGCGCATGCGCCCACCGCACCCATTTCGGCAAACCTCTCACACGTTTCGTGGCCACACACAAGGAACTCCACCGAAGGTCGCAATGGCTGCGTTCGCATGCGCCCACCGCACCTCGGTACACTCCTCACACGTTTCAAGGCCCCAGTGGCTGTGTTCGCATGCGCCCACCGCACCCATTTTGGCACACCCCTCACACGCTTCGTGGCCCCACAGGGAACCCCACGGCAGGCCCCACCGGTTGCGCTCACATGCGCCCGCCGCACTCATTTCGGCACACCCCTCACGCGTTTCGTGGCGCCACAAGGAACCCCACCGAAGGTCCCTGTGGCTGCGTTCACATGCGCCCGCCGCACCCATTTCGGCATACCCTCCACGCGTTTCGTGGCGCCACAAGGAACCCCACCGAAGGTCCCTGTGGCTGCGTTCGCTTGCGCCCACAGCACCCATGTTGGTACACCCCTCAAACGTTTCGTGGCCCCACAAGGAGCCCACCGAAAGTCCCAGTGGCTGCGTTCGCATGCGCCCACCGCGCCCGGTTCGACCCCCCCCCCACACGTTTCGTGGCCCCACAAGAAGTTCCACCGAAGGCCCCAGTGGCTGCGTTCCAATGCGCCCACAGCGCTAATGTCGGCACGCTCATTGCACGTTTCGTGGCCCCACAGGGAGCTCCACCGAAAGCCCCGGCACAGCCCTCAGGCGATTCGTGGCCCTCTAGGGATCGCTACCGAAGAAGATATTTACAGTTGCGGTACGCACAGCTGCATCTGGTTGGGTCCGTCGCCAGGATAAATTGAGTATGTTTGGGCATATTTTCAGTTTTTTCCCCGACCATCCTGTGGTGTTGGGTCCTCGTTTTGAAGAGACAGCGCCCCGCGTCACACCTTCCTTCCTCGTCCTCCCCCTCCTCCCCCTCCTCCCTCCTCCCCTTCCTTGCTTCTGCTCTCGGCACACCCCTCACACGCTTCGTAGCCCCATAGGGAGCTCCACCGAACGCCCCAGTGGTTGCTCTCGCACGCAGTTCCCCCACCCGGGGCAGCGCTTCGTGGCCCCATACGGAGCTCCACCGAAGGCCTTACTGGGGGTGTTCGCATGCGGGTCCCCCACCCAGGGCAGCGCTTCGTGGCCCCATAGGGAGCACCACCGAAGGCCCCAGTGGCGCAGTTCGCATGCGGTTGCGCCACCCAGGGCAGCGTTTTGTGGCCCCAGCTCCACCGAAGGCCCCAGTGGCGCAGTTCGCATGCGGTTCCCCAACCCAGGGCAGCGCTTCGTGGCCCTAGTTATACGGAGTTCCACCGAAGGCCACAGTGGCGCAGTTCGCATGCGGTTCCCCCACCCAGGGCAGCGTTTCGTGGTGGCCCCATAGGGAGCTCCACCGAAGGCCCCAGTGGCTGCTCTCGCATGCGGTCCCC